TTCACTACAAGTTTAACGGATTAATATTGCATATCATTTCCAGCCAACTGTATACAGCCTCTAGGMATGGAGTCTGGCGCGATAACTGACGAAGCTCTGTCTGACAAGCGTGCAGTTGTCCAACCAACAGGCATGCAACCAAAGTTCGCACGTGCTAACATTCCCGTAGATGCCTTCCCCTATGGCTGGCAGTCGGACCACAATACTGAATACTTACAGGTTAGCACTTGAAATATATCCTGGTAGTACAAAGGAACTTCGTGTGACATCAAGTTGTGATCGTGTTATAGGGTGACCGTATTACCAGGAAGAAATGTATGGGAATTTTTATTTTTAACTTGATGTAAAAATCTGGCCGTATCAAAGGGTTGGAAGTATTCAGCGGTTGCCGTAAGGAGCGGGGTTCACTGTATTTCAAAAGAGACCAAAAGATTGCAAAAAACAATTGATACATTGTCTCTTCTTGCATTAGCAATTTCATGTTATGAAATCTTAACATGAAATATTTTTTGTAATGCAAAATCAGATTCGTACCCAGTCGTTACTCTTATTTTTACTCTGGCGCGCGCAAAGGATCAAGGGAAGTCGTCGTTTACGACCCGTAAAACGACAAGAGAAACGACTGGGTACAAGTCTGATACAAAATTATTCTCTGAAACATCCTGTTTTGAAAATTATGTCAGGCGCGTTTTTTTTTTCTTCCTCCTCTTGTGTCATTCCTCCTCRTCCTCTTAGGAGGCTACATGTATCTAATGGCAATCTATTGAATTTAGGTTGACTTAGGATCGCTTCATCGACTCACACGAACAGCRCTCCAAGGKGGCCACACMACACAAGCTTCGACATTTTTCTTTACGAAGACCTATAAACTAAGTTARAGCAATAACAGTCTGGACTGGTTTGAATACAAAGAGAATGGAGTAGTCCAGGTGAGACAGTGAGACACATYATGCCTGAAATAGTTAATATGTAGCGGCGCAGAGCATGACGGAAAGTATAGTCCTCCCCCTTTTTATGTCTAAAAAAAATCTATCTATCAGCTTTCTGCTGACTCACAGAAACGGAGGAGAAAACGAAAAGTACGCAAAGAAAACATAACGATTTTGGGTGATGTTTGTTTCTAGCAGACAGAAAAAAATATRCTAATAATTTTTGCTGTTAAATAACGTCCTTATCGTTGCTTTGATTCCTTCATTCAGGAAATCGAAGGATCCAAGGATCGATTTGCTGCTAAATATCTGAAAATGAAAAGTRTAATTCCATTCTCTGCTCGGTACGTGAGATTTTACCCTTTGACTAGTGGTGATGCSCAAATGAAGGTGATGAGAGCCGAGCTGTACGGCTGTCTACAGGAACCCGAACCGCTTTATAAAGGTACGATATATTATCGTCAAGGTGTCCGTTGTTAAAGGGACACTGTCAATGGCACGCATGCGCGAGTAAACTTGAAAACATTAGGCTAGTGTTTTGTTTTCAAGTTTATGACTCCAAGTTGGCGCGACATAAATCAGCTCGTAAACGTAAACAGATCTAGAATATTCCAAAGTGTGTCAAAAACACCACAAAATGATTTTCTTCGAAGGTAATACTTTCAAAGTCCGTTAGAGGCGAGACTTTTACTGCGCATGTCATCCATTGACAGTGTCCCTTTAATGTGGTCACTCTTTAGCGAACAGTTAAATACGGTTATAGCAAAAAATAGAAAAATTATAAAAATAAATAGATAAATACGGTTATAGGGTGATCGCACTTAATCCGTGCAACTGTACAAACTAAATAGTTGTCTATTTAGTTGTATTTAGTAAATCGTGCACGCGGTACGCAAATTAAATTGAATTGATTCAAATGAAGCATTCAATACCGTCTTGCTTCAGGTCCACTTTTAGTACAAATTAYTACTACTTAGATTTTGTACAGTTGCACGCTTTAAGTGCGATCACTCTAGGGAGAGTTAGATGTGGAGTTAATGTATTCTTATGCCTGTTTTTAGGAATTACTGACCTTGAGTACTATCGCCGCTCGTTCCTCGTGGACCCCACAACCGACCAGTTCATRATCTGCATGTTTACTGACAATAGGTAAGTCAAAACCGACCGCGGGTTCATCAAACCGACCGGGCTCGGTGCTGTGTTGCAGTCTTCATCTATGAATGTAGATGTAATTTCATTATTGTTGATTTTTTTTCAGGGCTGAAAGCAGCTGTTTCGCAACCAATGATAGCAAGTCTTGGCGGGGTAATTATCAAATATCTTAGTGTCTTTACGCTTTTTTAAGTGAATTTTCTGAGACGAGATCACTTCGCTTCATAAGCGAAAGATCAGATRGTAAACAGAGTGAGTCCGCCACTTTCTTTGGTGAGAAAGCAGCCATCCCAGAGTTTCAGCTAAGCAGAATTCTTGCTAATCAATACCTACCTTTGCACCGAGTAAGCGCTCTAGGAGCGTCTAGGTATAAAAAGGAGACATTCAAGTCACAATAGTCCTTTTCTTAGATAGCAGTTTGCATTGCGTTGTGGTCTAGATTCGGTTCAACATCTTTTGTTCATGCTGCCAAATATGGCGTTGTTTATACTGAACCTAGACCACAATGCACCATAATTTTGTATTTCAGAAGGTCTATTTTAGGGTTTTCAAAGTTGTCTATAAACCGCGGTGCTCAATATTTGCTATATTTGTACTTAATGGACGCTTCATTATGCCTAATTTCATTAACCTTTCAGCAATCGATCCAACAATAATCACCATCTTGGCAGCCAACCCAGGRAAAAGAGAAGTCTACGCACTTGATCGGCTAATGAACCTGTATCGAACCCAGGACTCTGGCGTTACTTGGTACCAGGTCTCTCGCGAGTACTACAATCTTGCTGCRAAAGAATCAGCGTTCTATAAAGCCATAGGTATCCCGGACAACTTCGTTGCGGGTTTACCGACTGCAAATACAACCATTGCTACAACTACTGGCGCGAAATGGGGTGGTAAGTGAAACGTCTTAGAAAAATTGTTAATTGGTTATGAACTCTCGTTAAAACGGACAGTTCGGAACCTTAATGAGGTGTCTGAAACAGCGGGTGTCCATTGGAAAAAGAAATTACCATGAAAAAATGTTATTCAAAACTTGCGGAAATCATCAGTATAACGTTCGTTTGTTTATTATTTTCAAGTTTCGTCTGCAAATATTCACTTCATGCCCTCTGGCGGTGRATCGTGGACTACCGTGGGCTCATGGAAGTGCTGCGGCATGTAACTATGGCCTAACGTAACGGATACGTAACAGATACGTAACTCATTAGTCTTGTTTAGAATAGTTTTAACGCATGTTTCATACACACGTAGATTCTTTACAAAACGACTTGCATCAGACTGAAAATGGCCATTTCAACGTAAAATACCGAGTATTACGTAATATTTCAACGTAAAAGCAACTAGTATTTACGTATTCTAACGTAATGAGGCAACTAATACTTACGTATTTCAACGTAAGGAGGCAACTAGTATTTACGTATTTCAACGTAAAAGCAACTAGTATTTACGTATTTCAATGTAAAAGTAAACGTGTAAAGGGCCAATTATGTCCAGTCTTTTACAAGTCCTTGTAATGACAGTTACAAATAATGGATATTTTGGACATTTC